GCCGACGACGACGGCGCGGGCGGCGGCCTCTGGCGCCCGCAGCAGGGAGACTACAAAGACAGCGTCCTCCTCCTCCTCCTCCTTCTCCTCCTCCTCCCCCCCGCGCCGCCCTCGCCGCTACTGGGGCCGCTCATCTAACCCCGCCACCCCGGGAGTGTGAGGAGGAGGCGGTGCCGCCGCTGCCGCCGCCACCACCGCTGCCACCGCCGGGGCTACCCGCAATGGGAAGCGGCCGGCAGCACTGAGCATGCGCCACGCTCCGCACATGCTCAGTAACTCCACTCCGGTTCCTCCCCGTCACCACTCCCTCCGCCTCGGGGCTCAGGGTGTGGGGCGCTGGGGTGTGCGGAATCCGGAGGAAGTCCACGTCTCCGCGTTTTACTAGCAGCTTGAGGAAGAGTAAGGAAAGTGCAGGGGAGGGAAACTGTCGGCTCAGGCTTTCTTCAGGTAATGGAGTTCCCTCCAGGTGAGAGAACCTGGACCTGAAAGGAAAAGAGAATGTGCCGCTGGGCAGAGGATGGGCAATCCTGCTACCCGAGCCGGCCAGCACCGAGACTTTCTGGAAACAGTGCTGGTGAATTCAGAACTTAAGGTAGAGAAGACCAACCGAATTAGAAATACCCTTGGCGACCCATTTCGGAGTTTTTGGCTTTAGGATTTTTAGTCTGTTAAAAATACCTTTATTTACAAAGAAGATAGTAATCGAATACATTTTTTTCTTCCGTAAAAGTAGGATTAACATACAGGGTATAGTCACACATCAGAGTCATTCCCAAATTCTTGTTATCTACATTTACATCAGCGCTATATCTTAATATAGCAATATTCTTCTTAAATATTCCTTTGTTGCCTACCTCACTTACCCTAGTGCACTTTTATCTCTTGACAATGGTTAATTAGTGGCTTGTCTTTTTATACCTAGACTCACATTGTTAATGGTAATACTTGAATATGACCTGAAACTGTAGTTGTGACTAAGACTGGATAATATCTGAAAATGTCAGATCTACCAAAGACCTTATCATTGGTATCTATACAAAAGTAACATTTGCTGAGTCCTCTGTTTCAAGCCATTCTACCAGCCCCATCAAAGTCAGTGCTCTAGATACATATATGCCATTGCATCCCGATTCTTACTGTCTTGACTCTCAATTTTAAAAAATTAGCCTAATTTATACTCTTGACAACATCATGTCTAAGTCTTATCACCCCAATACTATATTTTTCATCTATTTGTTAGTTTTTATATCTGTACCTCTTTAAATGGCCTTCTAGTTAATTCTAGCTAAATAAATAAGTAAATAAATAAATAGACAAAATAAAAAGCTGGTTCTACTTAGAAGTTCATGGAAGAACTAGGGAAGTAAATTAATTCTATCCTTTTTTTAAAAAAAGAATTATTTTATTTAACTATATTTGTTTATTTCAATTTGACCAGAGAGGGACAGAGAGAGACAAAGAGGGAAAGTGAAGAAGCAAGCCGCCAGGTCTGGGACTCAAACCACTGTCAGCCATGTAGGAGTCTAGAGCCCTCAACCACCGTACCACCTGCCGGCCCAGTTCTAGCTTGGAGGGAGTATTTAGAGAAGTGCATTTTATCTGAAGCTTTATATGATAGATATATGGGATAAAGAACACATGGAAACAGAAGACAAACAGGGAGAATCAGTATTTTAGTACTGTGATTAGCCCCCGTTGAACACATTTTTCACTTGTCTTGTTTTCTCAACTGCCTTTTAAGTTCCTTCAGAGCTTTTGGTTTATTGTTGTGTCTCACTCAGCCCCTAATCTAGAACTTTGTACATAGTAGGTATCCAGGAATGTTTGTTAGGCTAAATTTTATCCTAATGCTTCAGCACAGTTACAAACCTCAGTTTTGAACAGAATGCCCTGGGCTACCACCTTTCTCCCCCAGAGAACCAAGACACCAACTAGTATAGAGGAGATTAAATTCAAAGAGTAGAATTAGAAAGCTAACAGGCACTTCAGGGGCCCAGAAGAGCCAGCAGGTAGCTAAAAGGCTGTGGATCCTGGCTGTTACTTAATGTCTTTGAGCAAGTGTTCTCCTATGAATAATACTCAGAATAGTACTTACTACATGAGATTGAGCAAGGACTTAAAAGATGTGTGTAATACACCTTGGCACACGGCTTTTCATAAATAGCAACTTAGACTAAACAAAACACTAGACTTTCTTATAGTGTGAGAATGCTCTCTGTGTCTGTTCACCCATTCTATTTCCGTCCCCTAGCACGGAGTTCAGCCCTAAACAGGAGAAAAATATAGATACTGGTTAAATGTATGCACAGAATAATATTTCCAGCGCAGACTTTGGTGGTGGCTTGTCAGTCACTGTTCCTGACCCGCTAGCACTGGTTTCTGGTTCTTCCCACACCCTCCTTAATTGTGCTTTAGTCCTTGCTGTACTCTTCAGTCCCAGACAGGCCCCTTCCTTAGCCTTCTGGACACACACAAAACCCGGTAACCGGATAATTTATTAAGAGGCCCTATGTCATTGAGTGGCACAACTAGGCGTGCGCAGAGCTGCACACATGCTCACTTAGCTATCCGAGGGTGGCGTTTCTGTTGCAGTTGGCAGCGTTTCCTTCCACAGCAGCGGCAGCAGTCCCTCTACTCTAAATTGATAGCCAATGCAGCGTTTTTTCTCCTCCTCTTCCTGCCTCCGCACAGTTGGGCTCCCTGGTCCCTAGCCTCGGCTGCTGCGCACCTTGGAAGGCTCCCAGGGATGGTGGGCAATGGGACGGATGCCCTGCGGAAATGCATTTGTAGTCACTCTTAATTCCACAGTCAAGGGGATCTGAAGGGAGGGTGGTCCGCAAGCAGGTCTCCAGGGTCACCTGAACTGTCGCTGCAGATCAGAGATGTATGTTTCTGGGAATATGACAGTCAAGCGTGGCCTTCTGCCACTTCCTCGAGCGCCACTATTGAATGCTCCACGCAGACCCTTGTGCTGGGGGACAGAAGGGGACCTCTTGTTACGCAAGGCACTATGCAAAATGAAAGAACACAAAGAGTTTTGCTTGTATTTTTCCAACTCAGTGAGCGAGGCTCCGTGCTTTTTGCGCTGCCATCTTAGCTTTATCTTCTGGCCAGGCTGGGCGTGTGTGCATTTGTGTTAGGAGCTAGGGCTGGAGGGGTGGCAGCGTGGGGGCCGTACTGGGCGGGGCAGGTGTCGGAAGAGGCTGGCGTTCACAACACGTTGTCCTCAAAGAATAGCCTTGAACTAATAAGGCAGAAACTGCCTTTGCCCATTTTGTTATGGGCATACTTGCATCTTTCAGTCCCTGTGGTTGACATGCTCATTTCTTAAAAGAATCCCTCTTGCCTCTGTGACCACAGAATAAGACTATGGCTACATCTTTCACTCTCTCATCACAGGTTTTGTCCTTCTTTTCCACTTGACATAGTAAACCCGGTCCACAATTTTTTTGAACTCAGCCCATTGAAATATCTTCAAATCTATACCTGCAAGAATCGCTTTTTTTAAAAAAGGAAGTCACCAGTCCTGATACAGTAAACAACAAGGAACCAAAGTATATGTAAAAAGACAGATTGATGTCATTAGTTTCACTTAAAAGGTCAATATTTTACTAATGCTACAAGATTACATACACAGGAAGCATGTATACTATCAGGCACATGAAAACTGCTGAAAATGCTGTGGTCAAGTCAAAAGTCTGTTTCCTGGATTTGTACAGTAATGTATTGGACCACTTAAAACCAAAACTGGTAGTTGAGAACATTTTAAAACAAGCTCTATAGCCGAGAATAATTTTTTTGGGAAAAATTCCTCAGGCTCGAAGAATGAAGAAATGCATCATCTTCAATGACCTTTATTTTTTAAGGATCACACAATTCTGCATTCTAAAGACATATGATAATACTGCACTTCAAAATATTTGATACAATATATTAGCTAACTAAGTAAAGAGAAAATTCAGCATGGCAATTTGAAATCCTTTTAAATATAAATTATCTCTTGGATTCCATAGATATCTTAACCTTTTGCTTTAAACAATTACATGTTTTAGGGCCTTGGAATATTCAGTATTTTGATAAGTTTTATTAACAACTAATACTCTCTTTTTATTCATGTTAGTTTTAAAAGATGTAAATTATATAACAAAGTCTTCTTACAAGTAAAAAAAAAATTAAGTTCTAGGGGTCCTGAGTTTTATATTGACATTTTCACTCCTGAAATTTTATTCTTAAATATTATTAGTGAATCTATGCTTTAAATTCATGCAAATCACATTGGTTTCAGAGAGGTTTTTGCTACAGGGCATATGCTCTCACCAGAGAGACAGAAAGCAAGAAATCACTCCCCAGGGGGGATGGCCACGTTGTAATCCCTTCTCCTCCATTCTCCTCTCAGGATCTTGGGCACGCACGCACACGTGCCCCGCATGAGTTTGAGCCACTGGGTCTGGGACTCGAACCGCAGTCAACTACATGGGAGTCCAGCGACATAGCCATTACACTAACTGCTGGTCCTGCAAATCACATTTTTAAAAAAATATCTCATTGTTATGATGAATTTGGACCAGAGGCTATCAGACAACTGATACAGAAAGACGTGAAGTATGACTTTTTGGGGGCAGCAAATGGTGCAGAGGTTAAGGTGAGGGACCCGACATTGGGTAGTCATGATTAGAGTCCTAGACCCTGCAGCCTGAAACTCATGCCGGTGCTTGTACCTGTGTGCCAAAATCTTGAGAGGAGAATGAAGGAGAAGGGATCATGGCATGGCCATCTCCCCTGGTGGGAGGGGGTAATTTCTCACTTTCTCTTTGTCCCTTTGTTTCTTTGGTGAGCACACACACCCTATAGCAAAAGTGTCTCTCTAAATAAATAAATAAATAAAGTGTGACCTTTTTTAAGGAGAGAAATTGAAGAACCACAGTATTTCAACCTTGAAAACTGCAGTATATTGTAGTTTTTAAATTAGATTAGTCTTTATTACTAAACTTAAATGGTTAAATCATATATCCTCAAATACCAAAGGACCATTAAAATTCTTATAAAGAATAACACTTTTTATTAAATCAAAGTTTTTTTGCAAACTATTGAATAGGATATTGGCAAATCCAGATAAGGAAGATATATCTAAATGGCCTGGGTCAACTGGTGGCATGGTAGTTAAGGCAGCCAGATCCTTCATGGCAACTCCTGAGTTTGAGTCTCAGACCCAGTGGCTTGAAAAACACATAGACACATGTTTGTGTGTGCTCAAAGAAAAGGAGGGAGAATTGGAGAAGGGATTATGGCATGACCCTTCCCAATACATGTCACTTTCTCAGTTTTTCTCTCTCTCTCTGGCAAGTGCATATACCCTCTGGCAATTTTTTTTTTAATGCTTCTAATGTGTTTTACACTAGGCATGGCCTTTTTTTTTTTTTTTCATAAAGACATTTAACCTCAGACTATATGTTCTTATCAGCAAAGAGAGTAATGATAGCACCTACTTTATTAGGTTCTTTGAGGATTATGTTGAATAATATGTATGAGATTCTTGCTTAGCACACTATTATTATTATTTTAATAATAATTATTTAAAATATTATATCAATA